ATATAAAAAAGATATATATATATATATATATATATATATATATATATATAATGCCATTTATCAATTAGTCCAAACACCACAAGATTGTTTCATTCATTTCGTTTTCTCTTTACACGTTTACTTTACACTTTACATCATACTTTTCCACTTCGCAATCATTTTTCCACCTGCAACTTAATATACCTGTACTGTTACACACGGTAACTTGACACGATCATATATTTGAAAGTCTTTTTTAAAAGAACTGGCTCCATTTTTGTGTACAAGTATACATACGACATTTAGCATCATTCTCATTAGTATGACTTGACCAAACATAAGCATACAGGGCGCACGGCTATAATACAGTTAATTAGCTTTTGGGACGGGAGAAAAGGAGGAAGCTCTATTCCTCATCTCTTGGGGAGGAAAAACAAAATTGCGTCTAGACTAGACTTGTCAAAAAGAACAAATTTCTGAAGAAAAATCAAATAAACAAAGTGCTCAAAATTGAACTCATTGACAATAACCACGGTCATAATTTAGACATTATCACATATCTGGAGAAGCGACAAATTCACTAGCATCTTTGAGTACTCTCCTTGCACGCCAATAGATAGCAGTAGCCGTTTCTGATGTTCCCATCTGCATAATCAACCCCAAAAAGATGAAGTCATGGACGCGTCATTTGAATTGAATGATAAACTATCCGCCAGACAAAGGTACATCAAAGAATTTTAAAAGGAATAGGACTATAGGAGAGCGATTAATACTTTCAGTTTCAGCTGTGGTAATACCACAAGAGGGAAAAAGCAAAAGAAATCCTTTACCTTGGTCTCCAAGCGATAGTAATCTTGCCACAAGCTGACATTTTGGTCATAAGTTGCGAGTGCACATTCATATAATTTCCTGGAATTTATGAGACCATCTTTATCTCCTATTGAAGCAAGGTTTGTTTCTAGGTCAATGCAATGTCTATATAAAGCAAGGCCGGGATGTGGTAAAGCTAGAAATCTGCAATGATAACCAGTTCAGGATTTATAGATACAAGATACAAAATCTCCTGAGGGAGCATATTCTGGTAAACAACACCCTTAGCTAATTGCACAACACATACCGTTTATAGATATCTCTGGTCTTCTGAATTCCATCTTTCTGAAGTATATAACTAACAATTGCAGAAGAAAGGGAAAATCCATTTTCACTGCCACCGTCTCTGACCAAACTAACAACAGAAACCTCCACCAGTTTATCAAAATATTGTCTTTGATTTGCATAGAATTTAAGGGCCTATACCAAGTGAAGGTTGGAAAGATGAATTTATTAAAGAACCTTTTGGTTTTAACTTTAAATATAATACAAAATAGTTCAAGCGAAGGAAAAATCAATTCAAGTTTAACTGAATAATGATAAAATGCATGAAAGGTTAATAACAGAAAATGTTGGAGCTAACTAGAAATTTTTTCAGCATTATCCTTAATGGCTTAATGTATTCATTGACAACTTTGGTCTCAAATGACAAGAGAAATCAATCAAAGGCCAGAAGCTATTTTTCAGTAACATGAATCATTACTTTAAGTCTTAAGTCTTTAATAATAAGAAATAAACATCAAATCTTCTCTAGTAAAATGCATATGGATACCATATTGGAAACAGAAAGCCAGATAATTCTAACCAAGACAGTACTATTCAAAAATCCAAAGATCAAGGAACAAAAAAATATTGCATACATTAAACCTAGGAAGCAATGGAAATTTGTGTCAAAAATGATTAGATTTCAGCAAATTTTGTACAAGACAGCTCAACTTGGAGAGCAAAAACAAGATATTAGTGGTGACAACATACCTTTAGCCACAAGTTCTCCGATTTTGAAACAGATACTTTTGTCAAAATTTGTCGAAAGAGTTCAAAAAGGGATTGCAAATCAGCATCACTCGGTGAAGAACTTCTTGTGATGCATTTTATTTCTATAGTAATCCTTAATCCCCATAACTCTACTGATTCTGCTAGTTTTCCACTGCAAAGGTTTGCTGCCAGTTTCCGGGCCTCATCCAGTTGTCTCAATTGCAAATGTAAGGACACGTGCTTGCAAGCAAGATCTTCAGTAATGCATCCCATTCTTTCAGCTCTTTCGTATATTGACAGGAAATGTGATATATAGTTCACAGCATGACCTGATGACCCAGTTATATAGGCTTCTTCTTTAGGAGCTACAATACCCGTTAGAAAATCTGCATACAAACTAAACATAGTTCCTGATGGCACATTTTTCAAAGCCTCCTCATAAACCTACAAAACAGAAAAGGGCACAAGGTTCACTACACCGACAGACACAAGAGAAGAAAAAAAAACTCCATAGAAAAACTTGACATTACCACTATCTGACAAGTATAATTCCTAGAGAAGGTATATAACTAACATGCGACTACCATAGTACAAACTGCCTATTTTTCCTAGTTTCAGGTTAGAGCATCCATAAATCTCAGTCACCAGAAATGCATTCAATCAAATACCATGCCCCCTACATGTTCAGTAGTTCTCACAGATTCATACCTGAACTGCCTTCTCCACCCGAGATACTATGACCTCTTCACTTATCTCCTCATCATTTTCAAGATCATATTCACGCCTTGCAAGCCAATCCCAAAATTCAGGTTCCTTCGAAAAATCCCTCTTCATGTCATTCAATAACTCCTTACACATATCTTCATAATGTGACAAATTTGTACCCTCCAATATTTCTAAAAAACGCTTCCTAAGATTGAGACTTGAAGGGACAGCTTCAATAGCTCCACCATAGACAGTTCGAAAAAAACCCATACCATGCTCTGCAAACAAATCCTGCTTCTTTTCCGACACGTCATTTTCATTGTTTGCTCCATCAGCATCCCCTTTACTGTCAAGCGACATAAACAATTCTTTGTTTTCGTCCTTCCATTGTTTTTCATCAGAACTCCTAGGATCACGGGTGAGCGTTCCCTCATCCTCACCTAGAGCAACCTTCCGCGCCTTTAACTTATTAAGGTAAGTAAGTTCCATCCGAAGATACTCCACCCAAAGGTCTTCCGAAGTGGGACAAACTCTGAGACCTTCCTGCATCAAAGCACGAGCTGCTGCAACATTCAAGTTATGATCAAATTCCCATGCTGCAGCATAAATCCAAACTCCCGGAACCTTTGGATGAAACCTAATAACTTTTGCCAAGGCCTGCAATATATTCAAAACAAAAATGTTCACATACACACATTCATTCATACACACTGACATACATGTATCCGATATGTATTCGTAGAGGCACGCACACACTGACACCCGTGTATTCAATATGTGAATACATACATACATACATTAACACACGTAGGGCGCGCGCGCACACACTGACATGTGTACATACATTACACACGCATACATACAATAACACACATACACATACGCGCGCATACATACATAATAATAAATAAAATGCAATGAAAATAATCGGAGAATAGAGTAACACAAGGTACGTACCTTCTTCATTCTGCCATTTTTTCTGAGTCTGCAAAACTCGAGGTAGCGAAACCAGAGATCGATGTCGCCTTTGTAGCGCTTCAAGGCGAGCTCATAAATCTCCATAATACGAAGCATGCCAGCCAAATCGGACTTGGACTTCTTGAGCTTTTTGTTGCCTTGCTTCATCAACTCGCGCGCCACGGATTTCTTGCGGAGCCTGCGGAGGGCGTCGAGCTGAGTCTCGTACTCGACGTAGGCCAAGAAATCTTGCTTCAGAGGACTTGGACGCTTCAGCCTGTACTCAAACTTTCGCCGCTGCTTCACTATCTCCGCGATCTCGCGGCGGCTAAAGAGGCCGCGCTGCTCGAGGTCGTCGAGCTCATCCACCATGCGCTCCAACCGATACTGCACCACGTCCGCCATGTTTCCTTGTTTCGAACACCGTCAACGGAGGAGGAGCGCCGAACGATGCTGCGTTTCGTTTCGAACCTGAACCTATCTGCTAGTTGAGGACTGAGGTTGAAGAAGGGTTTTGCTAAAGTTTAACCTCTGATATTGCTACGGCCCAAAGTATGCAGAAACCCAAACCTTTGGGTTGGGACTTAGTGGGCTTGAGATTACTATGGGTTCATGGCCCATGATATTGACACCTCTTGTTTAATTTAATCTTCAGTTCACTTCCTCAATTTTTTATTTTTTTTTATGAAAATACTCTTTATGGAAACTAATCTCTGTTGTGTATAATTATATAACAGAAATTAATTTATATTTGTATGTATAAAAAAAATATAGTATATAATGAAAACAAGTTTATGCTATATACCACTTTATCAATTAACTACAAAACAGAAACTTTTGTGGTGTATTTGGGTGGAAACCTTGTGCATTTCAGTGAAAATAAACTAGTTTTTATTATGTCGTTAATTTATTTTTTATTTGTGTATAATATCTTTTATTTAATGATTTAATGACTTGAATGACTTGTTAAATAAAATACTAATTAATTTAATGTTTTGCTACTCTTCGTAAAAAAAATTATAATTTTTAAAAAAATAAATAAATATTTTTTTCTAAACTCAAAAAATAATTTTTGCTTTGATAAGTGTGATAAAAAAGAAAAACATTATTTGTGTCAATTTTCCGAACTTTATTTGTGTTTGATTTCTGTATATATGTAAGATATTTTCCATCTTTATAATAAGAAAATTTTCTAAACGTTACAAATATATACATATTTTTGAAGCAGTTTACAAATATTTATGTAAGTATAAATTATTTATATAACTATATATACAACTTATAGTTATTAGGATTCTTTACAAATATACTGTCAAAAAAAGAATTATTTACAAATATTATACAAAACGTCATTGTACGATGTATGGATGTGTTGGATGAATTGTTTCAAAACATCTTTTTGTCCAAATTAAGTTAATTTCTCTAATTTACTACATGTTTGGCTCTCGGTAAGAAAAGAAAGTTTTAGATAGAATCAATAAAATTAACTTTTTCTCGATAATCTTAATTCTATACATAATACATGTTTGCTTATTTAGTTAGATTATTTCAAAAATTATCCGTACTGCCATATATTTTGTTTTAATGATTACATATCTGTTAGGAGCATAAAATTCTTTTTTATACGTTAAAACAAATCTCGTTATCTTCGGATTGTTTATAAATCAACATATTCATTATTCAAACATAAATTAACTTTCTGGTAATCAACTATGCATGTCAATAGCTTTTGACATATTTTTCAATGCTGGTCTTACAATGGTGGAATTTTTGCTAGCCCACCAACATTAATTATTGATGAAATTTAATTTTGAAAAAATAAAACAAATTGTAAGCATTAAATAAAAAACATTTTAATAATTTTAAATTTTATCAAATAGTCTTATATTTTATTATAATTTCACTTATTCATTTTCTGAATAATTGCACCACCCTCACATGCATAGCTATTTTGCACTATAGCAAAGGGTCACGAGCACGTTGAAGACAATACTGCACTACTCACGGGTGCCCATACTTTTTGTTCACACACTTCCAAAAATGCTGACTCTTTCTTCTTTCTTCAGCAATTGATTTATTAATACGTGAAAATGATGGAAGTTCAGTTCATACTTACTCACTACACATGCATCTGTTAAAAAAATAAATTGAAATATTCGAAGCTCAAGGCGAGCTATCGTAGTAAAAAAAAATAGAAGCAGTCACAATATGCCACCCTCTCGTGACATGATGAATTGCAATGCACGTACCTACTACTAGTACTACTACCTAAATCAAATCAGAAAGGCCTTGTGCGACGACCACTTGCCCTGCCACATAGAAGTGCATTCTTTGGGACAGGATATTCGTCCCTCCATGACTTTGAAGGTGTATACACCCTCAGATAAAGTTGTTGCCCCAAGTATTGCCTAGCCCAATTCTCAGACCTTATGTTCCACATTCCCACGTTGTCTAGAGCCATGTAGATTGCAGTCCATGACTTTGGGTACACTTGAGTGGTGCATCTAGCAACTGTGTCTCTCAGGTTGTAGTGTACTCTACTGTCGGCTGTCCACTGTCCGCTACCAAACCTATTCATCTCATCAAATCATACATGTCAGGTACACTTGGATAGCTAAAACATGCATTGCAGACGAATAATTGATTAATAGTATGTATGAGACATAAGACATACCCTACAACAAAGAAGGAATAACCGTCAATGTGCCATGACTGCACAGAATCCTCCCAATTTTGGAACACAATTTCCACAAATTCATGGAAATTGGCCCCCATGACAGAAGTTTGCTGATAAGCATTGTTGCCCCCGTTAGGATAGGTAGGAATGCTACCGACATAGAAAACTCCAGGGATGTTGAAGTAGTCTGCAAGTTTCAATGGAGTATCTGGTTCCACATATGAGACACCGTTCACGGCATACCTCTGCTTGCCATTGATATAAGGAGCAGAGTTTGAGAGCATGATGGTTCGGCTCGGTTTGATCAATCCATAGTGGTAAGATCCCTGGGGGTTTGGTCTTGGTCCACTTGCTGTCAGGTTCCAGCTGGTTTCGGAGTATCAAAACAGAATACTAAGTTATTAGCCAATAGAAAGTTATAACCCTAATAGGCAGTAGATGCAATCCTGAATAGTGCTTGTAAGAATAAATATATAATAATTTGGTTCATAAAAGTGCATATCTATACAAATTAGTTCTGTGAGAGATCAGATTGTTTATAAGTTGACAACTTAGTGTGGCTAAAATTTGTTCGCTACTCCACACTTTTAGGGGCCAATTCATACGGATCACAATTTCAAGGACCAAGGTAACACTCACAAGTTACTCTTCAAGGAATAGGACCAAATTGTACATTAACTCAACTTTTAATAAGGAAGTTCTATGTTTATAGAAGTTTAATTAATTATAAATTTAGAGTCTGTTTGAATACAAATTAAAAGTACTATTGAAAGATTCTTTACCGAAAAAAGTTTTTTTTTATTTTCAGTAGAAAAACTCTTTTAAACTTTTATCGAAACACTCTTAAACACCAGAATAGCAATGAGTGACCAAAAGAGTACCGGATAGTTCTAGCCTGGAAAACCGAAGATGTAATATCGAGGGAAGGCCCTGGAGGGACAGGACCAGATACCCCTGTGCGTGAATAGCTGTAATGAAGAACCGAAGTTGTTGTGAGTATCCGTCTTGTAAATCTTGTAGAGACAACTATATAGTAATCCTTGACGGGTTGATCAGCTGTGACCAGCACAGAATAGGACTGTCCGAGATGGATGTCTAGGGAAGAATAGGTGTTTTGGAGTGTATGAGATCCTTCTACCTCCACAAGTTTCAACTTGTGCCCCTGGATTCTGAAGTTGATGGATGTTGTGAGCCCCACATTTGATATCCTGAATCTATAAGTCTTACCTGAAGATAAAAAACATTGAAACAGTGGTCTAATAAAAGGCATGCATTTAAAAATTTGCAGTGGTATCAGTGCGACAGTGCATAAGGAAGTTCAACAATGCTTTAAAATCAAAATGGACAATCACAATTCACAAGCTATTTGGCTACCAACCTTGATCAACAGTGAATGTGTTTCCATTCCAACCACGTCCATTGATAAGAAGGCCATCAGGGAAGGGAAGATTATGACCATTCTCTAGGAGTCTTCTCAGTCTCTACAATAACAAAGGGTAAGTATTAAGGGGATGAAGAGGAGAAAAGGAAATAAATAGAAATGAATGCAAGGGGTTTACTCTGTGGCCTAGTTTGAACCAATCTCCAGCAAGTATGGTAAAGTCTCCAGCAGGAGGAGGAAAAGGGACAGGAATAAGAGGGCGGCTCCAAATTCTGATGCCACCAAATGCTCCAGCAGCTTTGTGCATTCCAAGAGATGGGAAGTAGAAATAGCTACCAATCTGGTCTTTTACCTGGATAGCATAAGTCAGGTTCCTCCCAGGTGAGATTGGACAGTTTGTGCCAGAAACTCCATCCTGCCATGAGTTCCTCCTATGTTGTAAGCCATTCCTGCAGAAGATATGTTAGGATCATCACATTCTGACAAACTACAATTATTTATAGCTGCTAAATGAACACACTATCACATAGTTTGTACTCATAAAAGTCATTGGTATTGATAATTTTGTTATTTCTACTTAAATATGTTAACATATACATTTGTTCATGAAATATGATTTAATCTGCTTAAATATGTTGCAGTTAAGTTTATCTTCACAGAGAACCAGATGATTTTACAAGAAACACACTTGATAGAGGAGTTCAATTCCATTTTGAGTTAAATCCTTGAACAAGTTCATGCCTGAAAGTGTTATGAAGAACTTTACTATCAACTATCAAGCACTTCGAATGGCAAAACGGGAAAAGTAATAAAAGGTTTGTGTTTGCAGGGTTTAGAAAATGCCTGTGACAGCATAGTGGATTTGCAGTATGAACAAGTTTTCACAGACTAACAGTTCTGTAAGTCCATCATGTTGAAATTTCACCCAGTCCCAATCCCAAATTCCCGTAAGCTTCTGTATTAGATTTCTAATCATTCACAAACTTCTCTTATTGGGACTTTGTTATAATAGGGATAGATCCGATGTTTGTCTCGTCAAATAAAAGATTAGCGTGGAATCATATTCAAATTGGGGAATCAAAACTTGATTTGTTAAACAATACACCAACCCTTCCCCTTGTTAAGTAAAAAAGATCTTAACTTTTACCAGCTCATGTAGCGTTGTCCTAGAGATGTTTAGTTTAGCAACTCAATCTTTGTGGAGTCATGGGGTCTTATAGACTCAACCACACCAATAAATTTTATCGTGTTTGTAGTTAAGACTTAAGATATGCAGCGTGTTAGGTGACCTTCTTAAGTAGCCAGCTGCTCAAATATAATATTTTAATAACATGGATCTATATAGTGACTCAATTGCAAGATGCTCATATAGAATATTGTAATGATGAATCCTTTTACGCAACCATCCATAGAAACATAATTCCCGTGTCAAGTAACAGAGGACAGAGAT